AACAAATCTCCTAACTAGTCCGACAGACAAAATCGCTTCGCAATCTCCAAATCTCAATTTCTTGTTCTCTCTCTCACCCATTTTCTCATTTTTCCATAAAAACGTCTGTTGCCAAAATCCATAGGAAAATGTTTTTAGAAAGCGTTTAATAATTGATATAAGATATTTTATTAAAATGTTAATTTAATATTATATAATTAATTTAATCAATTTGTTTTAATAGAAAATCCAAATAAATCATCTTAGGGCTTCAAAAATTATAGAAAAGTAACATAAAATAAATTATTTTATTTAAAAAATATTATGAAATTGCTTTGCAAAACAGACACCTAAAGGACTCAAAATCATCACTTTTACCGATAGGTACCAATTTATTAGGATTTTCACCGGTGCCCAAAAACTACGAAAAAATTCGTGCAAGTAAAATGCTACGATAAAAAAAATTATGGCGAAGATGGATTGTGATTTGGAGTTATAATGACTCTAGAAAAAATTGTAAAGTTAAAATATGGACTATTACAATAGTGACTCCAACATAGTTTAACAAAATGTAATGGAACTTATATCTCTCACTTTATAAAGAGTTTAAGAAGGATAGACTCTTCTAGACGTACAATCCTACCTAGATAGAACTGCTAGCTAAATTCTATCTAGCATTTTAGAACTATGATCATAGCCTCTACACAACATAAGATTGGTTAAGTTGTTGTTTCTAAGAATTAATGGTAAATGTCTAGAGAATTATCTAAGTAGCCTTAAAATTATGGATGATTATTATGCATCTAAATAAGTATAATTAAATTTTAGTCATTAATTTATTTGTAATGCAATGAAAGCTAGTTGACCATGCTACAATTATAATGATTTGATTTTTTTTTTTTTTGAAATCCTAAAAAATAGATTTTTCTCTAAAAGAGTAGGCCTCCCCTGAGACAAAGCAAGCACTCTTACAGATCGGGTAGCTTCTCAGAACCCGTAGGCAGGTATGTGACTAAACAATGAGAAGATATAATATGCTTATGAAAATTTAGATGAACCTAAATTTATATTCTATTTGGTTATCTTTCTATGTTGTTTAATCATAAATTTTATTGGACATGAGTATAAGAAGTTTCCTTAAAAACCAACAAGACTTCATTTCGAGGCTATCCTATAAGCAAGTATGGAAGTGTCCAATAGCACACCGGGTTATTTTCTATTAAATCAAGAAGTTTTAATGTATATATAAATCACAGCATTTGAAATATTAGACGATGTCCTTATATCGATTGTTTTATTCCATAACTAAGGGTATTAATTTCAGTTGTGGTTAAAATTGTGATCATGTGACTTTATTTTTAATTTCCGGGTTTTAGTTTGTAATTAATGGCTTAATATTTGTAATTGAGTAACAAATAAAATACAACACAACATTGTAGAAAGTAAAAATTTATTTAAGTAATACACAAAAAAAAGTAAACAACCTAACCTTAAAAAAAAAATTCTAATGGTCGTGACTTATCCAATAGTTAATTTGTGCTAACTCATGCAGATGTTACTTTATTATTTGTTTGTTGTTTTAATTTTAATTTAAAATTTGTTTAATATTTATTCAATAGTGATTTTAAGTTTTTTTAGGGAGCTAAGAATAGTAGGTCTTTTATTTTGTGGTCTTTTTGGCTTAAAATTTGTGACCCTTTTAATGAAGGTGGTCTCGGGTGTAAGAGTATTTTGGACATGGTTACAGCCTTCTCTTATAAACTCTGGTTTTCCTTTAGATCTAATAGTAGTTTATGGGCTAATTTCATGCATGCCAAGTACTGTAAAGAGAAGCATCCTACTAGTTGTATGGTTAAGAAGTCTGACTCTTCTGTTTGGAAGAGTTTATGTAACATGCATTAGCTGAGTTGCGGAGCCGTTTATCCAATGGGGTTTGGGTAAAGGGGAGATTTTCTTTTGGCAAGATAATTGGTTAGGTATGGGTTTGATTGACAGCATGCTTTCCTCTCATACTCTCCTTTCTACTAAGGTTAGTTACTTCATTGATAATGGTAATTGGAATATTAATAAGCTTAATTATCTATTACCCGAAGTCATTTTAAATCAGGTTTTGAGCATTCCGTTGAATATTTGTGATGATGACCATATTCTCTTTAACTGTTCTATCGATGGTCTTTTCAAAATTAAAAAGGTTTGGGAAGTGTTTAGAATTAAGAATGAGGCTTCCAGAATTTATGGTAATATTTGGCACAATAACATTCCCCTATCTTATTCTATTCTTGCTTGGAGGTGTATCAAAGGTTTTTTACCAGTTGATGTTAGGGTTTGGAATAAAGGTTTTTACTTGCCTTCTAAATGCCATTGTTGTTCTGATATTGAAAGTATTGATCATGTCTTTCTTTATGGTGATATTGCTCAAAAAGTGTGGAGGTATTATGCTATGATTGTAAACAAACCCTTTCCTGTTATTAATTCTATATCTGTATTTGCTGTTCAGTCTTTTTTAACTGATTGGATTTCCTTAGTTAAAGGTCATGCGCTTAACTTATTGCCTATTCTTATTTTGTGGTTCCTGTGGAAAGCCCGTAATGAAGCTAAACATAATGGGATTAAGATGGAGGATTAGGTGATTATCTCCAATATTAATCATAAATTGCTTCAATTATTTGCTGGTAAGCTTATATCGAGAAATAATTTACTCCATTGTGATGTTTTGTGTGAGAAGCTGGGTATCCCTATTAGTATTGAGGATTTTATTAGTAATGTTAGAGTTGTGAGATGGTTAAAACCATTATCTCCCTCCCTCAAGCTCAATACTGATGGATCTGTTGATCTTAACTTTGCTGGTTTTGGGGGTCTTATTCAGGACAATTTGGGCAAAGTAATTGTGGCTTATGCGGGCCTTTTATCTCCGTGTATGGTCATTTTTGCTGAGCTAATAGGCTTACTTAAAGGTCTTATTATTTGTAGCAATAGAGGTTTTTTTAATATTGAGATTGAGGTGGATGCTTTAAACATTATTCAAATTATTAACAATGTTGATGTGTTTCATCCTCAGTTATTTTACATTATCAGGAAACTTCGTTTTGCCCTCTCTACTATGAATTATACGATTAAGCATATGTTTAGAGAAGGTAATGCGTGTGCTGACTGTTTGGCTAAACTTGGGAGTTTGATGTGAATAATTTGCCTCATACTTTAAAAGGTTTGGTGATTCTGGATAAAATTGGTCTGCCTTATATTAGATAGAGCTGATTTTATGTTTTTGAGTTTTATGGTGTTTGTTTTTCTTGCCCTGGGTTTTGTGATGTTTGATCTGCTGCTCTTAGGAGCCTTTACCTTATTTTATTTCTGTCCTGCTATTCCTGGGAGCTGGAATTGTTGGTCTTTCATTTGGGGTTCTGTCTTTGTTGTGCTCTGGAATCTTTTGTTTAGCTATAAAGATATTAGTTTTACTATTATGTTCTTATCTACTGTTTCTTGCATCGTGTGGATGTTGTTTTTCGCCTATCTGTTTAAGTTTTGTGGGATCTGGAGTTTGGAGTTTATGCTCCAGTTCTGGTTTAGCATCTCTGTTTGTTTTTAGGTTTGGATTGTTTTATTGCCTTGGTGGTGGAGTAGGGAAGTTGTTATTTGTTAGTTGAATAGAATCCAGTGGGGCATTCGGGAAAGCTGGAGATGGAACATATTATATTTTGGGTACTTCTATGAGTGCAAGGTAATTCTTTTTGGTTGCTTTTATTTTATGTTCTTTTTTACTCTACAATTTTGCAGGAAGAGGGTGCTGAACGAGAACTTTATGATCTTCCTTTTTTGGGTGTTGTCTGCTCACAGCCCGATCTCTTTTTTATGCATTTCATGTATTATTAGGAAAAGGAACCACTGGCTCGTAGGTTTTATTTCTTTTTTGCGTGTAGCTCATTTGAGCATTAGAGAGCTGGAGGTTCCTTTTAAGGACTCTGTAACCGAATTTATTGATTAAATAATAATAAAATAATATTTTATATTTTTTATAATTTTAAATTATTATTATTATTATTATTTTGGTTAAAACCTATAAAGAAGACTTACACGCTAATATTAGAGATAAATATAAGTCCTTAATAGGATCCAAGATTTACTATTGCTAAAAGAACTACATCTAAAATTCCAAAAAAAACCTACGAATCATTAATCTTGCCTAATTACAATCAAAGAAAGAAAATCTAAAAATTGAGGTAGGCTAGAAGCTAAACCAAAAAATACCAGCCACCAGCATAGATACACAGTAAGTGTAGAAAATAACAAAAAAGCCATCTCACCCAACTTAAAAAACCGAGCACAACCAACTAGAGCAGCCAACAGATCCATCCAAAACATCACAAACCAACAAAAGACCAGCACATCCGGACAGCGTATGAAGGGTACCAAGCGGTACCGTTGTTGGTACCGAACATGGTACTAAGTGCCTAGTGATCTAGCTCTTTTTTATTGGTCTCTAGACACATTTGGTGTCTGGACACAATAATCTCTCCTAAAATGGAATAACAAAACAAAACAACAAGATAGCAATGCCTACCATGCAGCAAACCCCGTAGATAGAATGAAAAGGCCATAACAGATAACCATAAAAATAGGAAAAAAAAAAAACTCACCTAACTAAGAAAAACAAAAGAGCTGAAAAAATTCGATGGGGGCTCTGCTAGGGTTTGGTTCATCCGCCTTCCTAATTTCTTCTTTTGCTGGTTCTTCCCTTCGGGGAAGGGGTTCTCTCTCCGTTGATGGAGTTTGCCCCACAAGACTTCCCTCCTCTTCCTAATTCCTCACTTCTGGGTGCCTCTCCTCCTCGTTCGGGGAGCTATGCTGAAAATCTTTCTTCTTCTGCTCTGAAGATGCAAGTTCTCTCGATGTCCTTCGTCTTTCCTAGTAAGAAACTCTCCTTCAAGTCTGAGGATCTCTCTGAAGGATCCACTCTCTAGTCTCATTCACTTGTTGGTTACTCGATTGGGCAACGTCCGTGCTATGAATGCCTTCTCTCGGCTATGAAGAAGGTTTGGAATCTTAATGGTTCGATGTCTTTACTCTCTCTTGCTGACGGATTTTTCCTTATGAAGTTTACCTCTCTAGAAGACCTTGACAAGGTCTGGATGGGAGGTCCTTGGTTTTTGCTGGGAAAACCTTTCATTCTTCAAAGATGGTCACCAAAATTTCAACCAGTTCGGGATGAGTCTGCTTCTATTTTGCTCTGGATTAAAATCATTAATCTTCCTCTTGCCTTATGGAGTCCTACTGGTATATCCAGGATCGCTAGTTATGTTGGCATTCCTATTTCAGTGGATTCCCTTACTGCTAACGGAACCCGACTCACGTTTGCTAGAGTCTGTGTTCAAATCAACAAGAACTCCCCTCTTCATGATGTGATTTCTATTGAGATTGACGGAGATGACATGGATCTAAAGGTGGTATATGACTGGAAACCTACCCCTTGCGAGGGTTGCGGCTCTCTATTTCACCCTTTCTCTCTCTGCTCATCTAACCGAAATCCCAAACCCTCTATCTCCATTGTCCATCGTCCCCGGGGTAGGAGCATGAGTAGGCATCCTAATTCCAAAAATTTGAGCACATCTGCTAAACCCCCAATTCCTAGACCCACAGTGGCTGCTCTTGTGATATCTCCTCCCTCTCAGGATGCTGTTATCCCCTCTGGAATTGGCCCGTCCAATTCTGTGATATCTCCTAAGACCACCCCTACTAAGTATGTTCCTACGTCTACTTCTGCTGCCTCCACCTCTCCATATGCTTCCCCCAAATCTTCTACACTTAATGCTTTCGTTGACCACCTCTTCCTATTCTCAATCTTCCCACAGAATTTCATCGTCTTCTGATCTCCCTTCTCCTTCTTGTCTTCCCCCACCTATGGTTTCGACCTCTAACAAATTTTCCACCTTACTGTCTAATGATGACAAATTAGATGACTCTTCTATTTTTCCACAGAAAATCCCTTTATTGGATGATGGAATGCAGGTTTCATCTCCTTCCAACCTCTTGTCCTCTTCTAATGAGCAATGCTCTACTTCAGAGAATCTCTCCAACTCTAAAAGCAAAACTATTACCACCAAGGAATCGAAAAAGGGTAAGCCTAAGCCCTTCAAAAAGGCTAAAGGTTCTCGTTATTGATGTCTTGTACTCCATTTGCTAGTTGGAATGTGAGTGGGTTCAACAACCTGGAGAAAGTGTGGTTTTGCAGAGAGCTTGTTTCTTCTTATAGTCTCAAACTATTGTGTATTCTGGAGGCCAAAATTCAGGTTCAATCCTTCTTGGACCGTTCGTTTCTCAACTCGCACAAAGTTTTTGAGGATGAGTCCTCATACAACAATTATTGTTTGTCCTCTCCTGGGAGAATTTGGATTAAATGGGACAAATCCTGTGTCTCATTTAAACCGACCTTTACTTCTTCTCAGCTGATCAATGGCATCTTTGTTGCTGGTAATTTGCCTCCTATTCAACTTTATGTTGTTTATGCTGCTAATAATATGAGTGATAGGAAAATCCTTTGGGATGACCTTCGTAATCTTGTTCCTTCTGAAGATCAACCATGGATTATACATGGAGATTTCAATTGATGTAGATTCGATTATGAGAAAGCTAGTGGAAATCCTATTAATCCTACTTCTTTGGGTGAGCTCAACAAGTGCATTTTTTATTGTGGTGTTCAAGATCTTGCTTCCGTTGTGCTTTACTATACTTGGTACAATCAAAGAATAGATTCTCCTATTCATATTAAGCTGGATAGGGTGTTAGTTAACCCGGGTCTTCTTAGTATTTATCAGTCTGCTTTTTACAAAATCGCCCATCCTGGTGGATCTGATCATTCACCCCTGATTTTCTTTGATAATGCCTCTTACTCCCCCAAAGCAAGATTTATGTTTAAAAACTACTGGGTGAAGTTTGACTCTTTTTGGGAAGAGGTTATCACTACTTTTGATAGACCGTCCATGGGTAGCCCCATTTCTTCCTTTTATAATTGTCTTAGGCTCCTTAAAAGATCTCTTAAGGGGAAGAATTGGGTGTCTAACAATTATTTATCAAATGCTATCTTGGATTTACAGAATCTTCAAAGTGATGTTTTGAAGGAACTTCAAGCTCAACCTTCATGTGTTTCTTTAAACAGCAATCTTAAATTGGTCAATGAGAAATTAGCTTATCATCATTCGGCTTGGACCTCTTGGATCACCAAGCGTGCTAAATCTTATTGTCTTACGAAAGGTAAGGATGACTTGGGTTTTTTATATGCCAAGATTAAAGCTAGAAAAAATAAGAATATTATTAGGGAAATTACCACTGATCATGGTACTTTCTCTTCTCACTCTAGCATTTCTGAAGCTATCATTTCTCACTTTAATGCTTTGTTTAATGCTCCTAATTTGGTTTTGGGGGTGGATGTCTCCATTCCTGTTGGGAATGTTGTTCCTTCTCAGCTAATCCCCTCTCTTACTGCGCATATATCTGATGATGAGATTAAGAGAATTGTTTTTTCTGGAAAGACAATTGCTGCCCTTGGTCCAGATGGTTTTTCTTTTGAATTTTACCAGAAGTCTTGGCATATGTTGGGCCCCCAACTCTGTAGGGCTATCAAAAGTTATTTCACTTTGGGATTCTTACTGAGAGCCACTAAAGCCACTGTAATTGCTCTTATCCCTAAAGGCCCTCATGCATCTCACATTTCTGATTATAGACCTATCTCTTTGTGTAATGTGTTCTATAAGGTGATTTCCAAGCTTCTTGCAAATAGATTGAAGGTTATTCTTCCTCACATTATTTATGATAACCAAGTTGGTTTTATCTCTAAATGAAGCTCTTCTGATAACATTAATTTGGTCGTGGAATTGCTGAGGGAATTTAAAGATGGTAGTAATATTTTTTGTGTTGAACTTGATGTTCGGAAAGCTTTTGATTCGTTATCTAGGGATTTTCTTTTGCATCGACTAAAGCTCAAAGGTTTTCCTGATATCTTTATTTCTTGGATAAAGGGGTGTATTACAGAGGTTTACTTCTCTATTTGTATCAATGGCACTCATGAAGGCTTTTTTAAATCCACTTCTGGTTTAAGGAAGGGTTGTCCCCTCTCCCCGTTGTTTTTCTGTATTGCCATGGATGCTCTCTCCTTGAGCCTTCACACCCCTAATTTCACGGGTATTACTTGTAATGGGGTTGACATTAACCATCTAATGTATGCGGATGATCTTTTGATTTTTGGTAAAGCTGAGGTTGCAAATGTCAATTATTTGAAGGATGCTTTAAATCTTTTGGGGGCTGCTTCTAACCTTCATATTAATCCTAATAAGAGCTCTATCCTTTTTGCCAAGGATACTTCCTCTGCTAGCCTTATTGCTGATATTCTAGGTATTAATAACTCCAACACATTCTTGACTTATCTCGGGCTCCCTATTTACCCGAAGAGGCTTAAATTTTCCCACTTTCAACCCCATTTGAACAGGATTACAACCCTTTTTGCGGGCTGGAAAGTTAAGTTTTTATCTTTTGCTGGAATGTTGCAATTTTTGAAATTCAATATTGCAAATATAATTGCTTACTGGATTCGTGGATCTATTATACCAAAAGCTTGTTGTTCTTTTATTACTAAGCTTTGCTCTAAATTTATGTTACATGGGAACATTGATGATAGTAAATTGCATTTAATTGCTTGGAATAATATTACTAAACCTAAGACTTATGGGGGGCTTGGCATCCTCTCTTTTGATGCTTATTACTTTGCAGTGGGTTGTTCCTTTATTTGGAGGCTGTTTCAATTTCCTTCCCTGGCTGGCTCTTGGTTGAAAGAAAAATTTGAATCACCTTTTAAAACTTCCCCTCTATCTTCTTCTAGATTCTGGAAGGGGATTTGTGATGTTTCTCAAAAGATTAAGGCAAACATTTCACTTTCTGTTGGTGGTATCTGCAATTCTCTTTCAAATGGGATCCTTGGCTCGACAGTTGCCTGCTGGGGGATGTTTGTTGTGATTCAAGACTTAACTTTAAGGTGGTTGATGATTTTATTGAGAATGGTCACTGGGTTTTACCAGAATTCTTGCCGTCTCAGGTGAGTTCTACTGTTTTGAATGTGGGTATAATGGATCATTCGGTTATAGCTTGGGATGGGGCTCTTCCAGCCCCAATTTTAAGCAATTTTCTAGCTCTTTTTTATTCTCATTTGGAAGAGGTCTCTTGGCATAGATTCATTTGGCATAAAAAGGGGTCTCTTAAGTTTGCTTGTTTTGCTTGGATGGCTGTTACTGATAAACTGAAATGTTCAGATGTGCTTATTCGGAGTGGGTTGCCTGTCCCTCCTAGCTACTCTTTTTGCTCACTCCTGCAGGAATCTCACCACCACTACTTCTTTGAATGTGATTTTTCTTTCTCTATTTTCTTATTGGTTTTTCCGGTTTTTGAGAGGTTTTTATTAAGGCCTAATTTGATGCAAGCATATGATTTTCTTGATTCTTAATTTTCTTCACACTTTGAGAAAAACTTTTGTTTCTCTATAATGACATACATTGTTTATCATCTTTGGAGGGAGAGAAACAACAGGCATTTCTCAAATTCTTGGTTATCTCCTCTTGGGGTGACTGGCAACATCAAATCGATTATTAGGAAGAAAGCTTGCAGTTGGAAAAATGTGGAGTTGCTTAAACAGAAGTTTCCTAATCTTTTCTGACCAGCCATTTGCCTGGTGGATTTCATTGCAATTTTTCTGGAGGGGGAATTTTGGAGGGGCAATGATGACCTGGGAGCACCATTTGACTGTTCGCTGCTGGATATTTCCCCCTGGATGTCTCAGTACCTATTTTTGGTTGATTTTGCAAGTCTGTGGAAACCGGGGAAATGGCCCCTTTCTCGGAATATACTCACAGTCATTATCTGATTCCAGATGAGATTTTGGGTGCTCTCTTTTTTGCCAGAGTCCCTGATGTTTTTTCTCTTCTCCCCTCTTTTGCTGTCTTTTGTTTGAGTTGAACCCTGGTTATTTTTTTCTTGGGTTCACTCTTCTCTTTCTTTTACAGAATTTTGTTTTTTACATGTAATTGATCTTTTCTTTAATACATGAGCTAAGGCTCCCAAATTTCCAAAAAAAAAAAAAGAAAAACAAATGTCCAATAGGAGGCAACACCTACGCAGCAACACAACACGGATAACTAGGAAAGACAGCAACAAGAGACAGCAACAACTAAGTACCCGAGTAGAACAAACCAACAGAAAGCCAAAGATAAATAAAACCCAAAACCCCAAGGGCAAAGGACAATTAAAAACTACTAAACAAGCATCATTTGTTCCTTAAGTGCAGAAACCCAAGCTTATCCATCATCACCAATCCTTTCAACAAATGCAAATCAGTAAAATCAGTATAAAGCTTGGCAGAATCATGATAAATACCTTTCCTCACTAACCAATCTACACACAAATTTTTAATTCTAGAAATATAAAAATTTGAATAATCAACCTTCTACAAATAGCTCATAATTTTTTTAAAAGTATTAGAATAGAGAAGCATTATTGCAGTACTTTCTCTTAACAAGGTTAACCAAAATTAAAGAATCAGACTCAATCCAAATATTCTGGGTATGAAATTGAGAACAGAATTTAAGGCTGAGTAAGAGAGCAGTGAACTCAACAATAATCACATTCCCATTAGGGACATTACCAACAAATGCAAAAACCATATCACCATGAAAATTCCTATCAATGCCCCACAGCCAGCACCAACCTTAGAATGAGATATGTCAACATTTAATTTAAACTTGTTTAAAATCGATTTAATCCTATAAATAACCGTAAACATATGCCTAATGATATCCTTCTAAAAAAATTTGAAAAAAATTGGTCCAAGAAGGAACACCTTTAAAATGCATAGATATAAGTAATTTAGCATTAACCATCTAGTGAATTTTTAATTTCAGGAAAATAATGATTCCGTCAAAATCCATTTTAATGCCAAGATGCTTGTTATTATTTCTTTCCAACCAAATAATCCAAACAATAAGAAGAGCAACTATACCAATATGACCAGCAGGTCTATTGGAAAACCATTGAACTAGTAAAGAGTAACAATTTTTGACATTGGAAACAAAATTAACACCCAAAACATTCTCCAAAAATATCCAAACCTTCCTTGCTATATACCCCTCCAAAAACATATGATTGATAGTCTCAACATGAGAACAACATTGACATTTAGAAACCGTGTTGAAACCTTTGGTCATTAATCTCTCATCCACTAGAATGAATTTGTTAATAAGTCGTCGATTAAAAATAAAAAGTGACGTAGGAATATTAGAACTTCAAATTTTATTAAAAACTTTAATGTTAGGGACCTATCTCTGATACAATTCCAAACATCATTAGAACAAAAGCTATCATTTTTTAGAAATATTAAAAATGATCTTATTAGATAAAGTTATGTCAAAGGGAATGTCCATAATGCCATCAACCACATCCTTGGGAACAAATTCTAACAAACGATTATAATTCCAATTGCCATTACTTAAAAAATAAGAAACTTTCATAGTGGTAATGGAATGAGTATTAAAATAGGAATCCAAGGAACCAAATCCCCTCCAATTATCTTGTCAAAAGAAAGAAGACCCATTACCAATACCCCATTGCAAGAATAACTCACCCAGACACTTGATACTACACATTCTTGCCAAACAGAGGACTGACCGTTAAAAAAAATTAACAAACATATGAAATGACTTACAATATTTCAAGATCATAAAGTTAGCCCAAAGGGAATTATTTTCTCTAAATTTCCATCGAACTTTAATAGAAAAGCATTTAACCATGTCTATGATATACTTACAATCAAGCTCACTCTCCCCGGTAGGCCCAGTATAGGAATTCCAAATTCTTTAGTGAATCCTCTTATAATCAGTAGAGGAACCCCAAAAATATTTGTTAAAAATTCTCTTCATCCTGCACAAACCACCAAAGTGGGATTAATAGTTTGAAAATGATATAAAGGTAAAGATGATAAAAAAATCTTACCACCCATTGAAAGAAGTTTAAATTCCCAATAAGCCAAATTAGTATTAATCGACTGAAAAATCTTATAAATAAAGAAACTTTTCCAAGGACCTTTGAAAATCGGAGTGCCCAAATAAAATATGGGAAGATTCTGCTTAGAAAATCTAGTGTACTAAGAAATAAGATTAACATTCCTCTGAAGCATATCTTTCACAAGAATGAAAGAACACTTCTTAAGGTTAAAGTTTAAACCACTTTCCTTGCCAAAGTTCATGAGAAAATTGTAAACCATCTTGACATGATTAAATGAATTATTAAAAAAGATAATGAAATCATCAGTGAAATATAAATGAGAAATATGCATACCGCCCTTATTAATATACACCAAACTTTTATATTTAGAGAATAAAATATGCAGACCTCTAGATAAATATTCAACAGCAATAATAAAAAGAGCAAGTGAGAGAGGATCATCCTACCTGACTTGAGAAGCATGAAAAAAATCATTACTTTTACCTTTAATAATAATGGAATATCGAACATGTTGAATGATATTAGATATTAAAGCTATGAAAGAATCATTAAAACAAAAAAGCTGCAAAATTTTATAAATAAAACTCTAGTTGACATTATCATAGGCTTCAATGACTAATTTCATAACCATATTTCTACCCAGGATATTAATATTAATATCATGAATGAGCTCTTGAGCTAAGAGAACATTATTCACAATACTTCCTTTAACCAAACTTATTTGATTTTGAGAAATAATCTTAGGGAGGATGTTAGCAATATGAGAAGCAATAATTTTAGAAATAATCTTATTAAAAATAGAGCATAAACTAATGGTTCTATAATCATACCAACAAGTAGAGTTATCACATTTTGGAATTAGAATAATAGAATTACTAGTAAAGAATTTAGGAAGAGCCATACCATTGAAGAAACCTAGTTTAATATAATGAATGAAAGCTTTAGATTTCCAACTCTTAGCATGAGCATGAAAATACTTTGTATCTCCATCCCCATCAGAAAGGAATTTAGAAATAGCTTTTCGACATTAGTATTCCTCTTCAAAAAATTATAAATCAGAAAGATGTTTTTTTTTCATTGATCAATAAGGTCTTATTCTCATTAGATCTATTGAACATAAAATTGCCCTCATGAAAAATAACTTTTCTCTCAACTTAAGAGATATTATAAAAAATGTTACCAAACATGTTTATTCCACCATCTAAATGCTTTTTTAAGACGCTTGCATTTAAGAGAAAACAAAATAATATCATTATTACCATCATAATAGGATATGAGAGCCAGCCAATTCATCTCAACCACATTATAGAAATCCTTAGAATACAACCACATATTATGAAATCTGAAGGCAGAAACACTCGATCTAATATGAGAGTTAATAGAAATCAACAAACACACATGATCATATGTAGTTCTACTAAGATGATGAGCCACAATGCTAGAAAAAACACAGACCCAATTAAAATTAAATAATATTATATCCAATCTTTGCCTTAAATTATTATTAAACCACGTAAACTTATAGCCAATCAAATCAATATCAACTAGACCACTAAACAAAATCATCCTCCATAGGAACATTAGGAGTAGAGCCTCCCAATCTTTCAAAAGAATTAGCAATAATATTAAAATCCCCCAACAAATTAAGGCCTCTAATAGAAAAGGAGAAAGCATCAATTTGATGCCATAAAGAAATCTGACCCACTTTAGAACAACTAGCATAACAAATAGAACAAAAAATAAGTGCATTGTTAATACAAAAAATATAATGAATGACTTGCTCAAAATCAGCTAGAATATAGAAATTAATAGAAGCATTAAAAAAAAGCCATATTTTCCCATTAGAGTTTACAAAAGAAGAATTAAAACAAAGTTTCCTTCGACAAATACTCAATTTAGATGTACCAACTAATGACTCTAAAATAGCTAAAAAAGAAATGTTATGATTTCTACGTAGATTACAAATCCAAGAGCGAGAAAGTATATTACCCGCCCCACTTACATTCCAAATTAGGGACTTATTCTTAATAATCTGATAGGGTAGCTGCTTTTGATCTAGTATATCTAGATTGAGAGGCTATCACATCAAATTTATTTTATTATAGTTCCTCCACTTTTTCTTATTGGATACTCTATCAAAATCCTCAAAGGAACTATGCATAACTTTATACTTAGAAATACTTTTCATTTTGGAATGAATCTCCACATCAGAATGCAGTTCACCTTCCTCCCAATTAGATTTAGACCTATGAGTGTGAGAGTCTGCATAAGAGGATTCACTTAAATCATTGGACATATAAATTTTGTGACAAAGACATCTCCCATTAACAAAATCCTGAACAAAGTTTTTACCCATTATAGCAGAAGATGATGCAACAGGAATAATGGGGGTAAGCAGAAGATTAGCCGACAAAACACCACCCATAGGGGCATCCTTCAAAAGATTAGCATCCCCCACATTATCCTTGTTTTCATATTTATTCTCAAATATAATAGGTAAGGCCACCATAAGTTCAATACCTTCAGAGTTTTTTTTTTTTTTGAAGATAGAGTCATCAATAAGAGAAGGATAAAAAAAAAAGGATTAGGAACATCACCAATATAGACTTTTATCGTGGCCTCATGAGGGGAGGGAGAGCCATCTTGAGTAACCGTGACGGATACTTCAACATTTGAACTAGGCAATGCAGATCCTTCAAAACATGGTTAAGAGAAATAATAAATTTGACAATGTTATATTTCCTCAAATGAGGATGTAAATGATATCATTCGACCTTATTATGACCTAAAGCTTTACAGTGATCACAGAAGCTAGGAAAATCACTCATCACAATCTTTTAAATATAACCAAACTTCTCAGGCCAACATAAATAGAATCAGGATATTATTTTGTAATATCCAATTTAACCAAAATATGTGCTACAGATGAGAGATAACCAAAAGCAGTGGCAGAATAAATTCTTAAGGGGCGACCAAACAATGATCCTTGTCCATGAAATATATGGCGAGTAAAAAGATGGGGATGTAAATTTGGGAAAGAAATCTATACAGACACTATGGGTGATTTCGTAGAAATGTCAAACAATGGTGACCATTTGATTAGCTTTATAAAGCAATTATTCACATAATAAGCTTTTCTAGAAAAAATCTTGCTATAATTTAGATCATCTAATAGTTTGATCAATACATGTTTGGGATCTAACAAAGTGACAGAAAAATCAACTGAAAGTTTGAGCAAAAAGAAAACTTTCTAATATCATCCTAAGCATGACACCTAATCGTGAATTTTCCAACCAAAGAAAAACTCAAACACTACATCTAAAGCTAAGATTTCCTCTTAAAAAAAACATAAGGAAGTTAAACCTTTGTGTGTCAACTGTACGAATATTTAAAATCTTATTAAAATTAACCCCGTCATAATTAGTCAATCAAATCATGGTTTAATTAAAGATAGTCGATCGTACCGTACGATGTAGGTCATACCATATGATTAGCAAAGACAAAATTTGGTCATCCCAAAGATCATACCAAACAAAACCATGATTTTTGAACAAATCATATTGCACGATGTCGATCGTACCATATGATTACCAACGATAAAATTTGGTTGTCCTAGAGATTGTACCACCATAATTTTTAAACTAATCATATTGTACAATATTCATATCGTACTGGACAACCTACTTGAATTAAACTAATCGTACTGTATAAATAGAAGAAATCGTCCCATACGAATAGAAGAAATATAACAGATCGTATTATACGACGTGTTTATAAAATTTGAACAGTTCATTTGAACGACTATTACATCTTATTGAACAAGATTAGTTTTAAACTGATCGTATTGTATGAAGTTGGATTGCACTGTACGAATAGTTATGATTAAATTGAATTTTTAGGATTTCTGAAAGCCTATTACAAAAGCAAATGTTTTAATTTTTCCTAATAATGCTAAGGGAAGAACTTGACTGAAGGAGGAACTCTGAGAGGGAGCTTTTGAGAAGAAAATTAGGATTTGAGAGAGGAAGGAGTAGGTGAGCTTGAGCGCGAGGGAGAAGTAGTGTGAGGGGATCACACGGTTGCTCTAGGTTAGCTGCACCCTTGCTCCTCCTATGGCCTTGGTGAGTATTTTGGGAGCTCTTTAGGGAGAGCGGATTCTCACTCCAGTTCTTAAGGTTCTCTGTCTTCTTCAAGAGTGAGAAAAAGGAGCTGAGGTTCTCTGCCTTCTGTAGGAGGGAGAAAAATGGGTTAAGGTCCGCTACCGTCACTAGAAAGGTGACATAGCGTATGGCACTCCGCTGCATCAAAGGTTTGGTGAAAGTGAGTTTGTAAAGGCTTCTCCGCCTTGTTGTGGGAGTAAAAGGAGAGTCACTTTTTGTTAGTGCAAATTCCTGGAGTGGAGGACTCCGGGGAGTGGACGTAGGTCAAGGTTAACTGAACCATTATAAAACTTATGGCGTGCTTTTTCATTTTTCACGTTTGACTTTTTACATTTAATTTTCGTTATTACTGCTTAATGAATATATGTTCTATTGTGCAATTTAGAATCTCATCATCATTACTAAAATCGTTGTTAATCTATTAGCTTTCGCATCGGGTAATTAATTACATATTTGAAAACTCCGAAAAAAAAATCTACAAAAATAATATTCCTGCTTAGGATTATTTTTAAAAGAACCAATTCACCCCCCTCTTGGTGCATCTTGAACTTTCAGTTTTATTTTATGCATTTTGATTCTTTTAATATAAATTTTAATAAGTTTAAAATATTATTAATGATGGTATGTATTTCATATATATATATATATATATATATATATATATATACTTATAATATCTTTATAATCATCTTTATCTCCTCTTTATTAAATTTCTTTTGACTAATGCCACACTATTAAGCATATTTATTAGTCATATTATAAAGCTTTGTCTAACTTTGTCATAAACATTGAAGATATCTTAAGTTCAATAGCAAGACTTAGTAGTTGCATTGTTGCTAAAAGTTTAATAGCAAGACTTCTTCGTGCGGCATCGTCCTGCCGCAAAGCTTCCGTTGGCATATCCATTACAGTGTCCAATTTGAAGCAACATTTTCTCAGACTCATTAAATTGTCATTCCGGCCTCAGTTAAATGATAGTCTTTTTTTTGTGTTTTTTGTATACTATGAAACTACATATTTTATTTGGGTAGGCAGACTTCATGATTAACTGTATGAATTTCACAAATATGTATTGTCGATCCTTACAAACCAAACGATTATTTAATATTTGAAAATAGTTCCAGTGAAAGATTTTTTTTTTTTGCTGCTACTGGGTATTTTTTTTCCTTAACTATGCTTATTTGGAGCTTTCAACTACGCAAGAAGATTCTTTTGCAATAATGACTAGAAAATTTATCAAATCTGGAGCTGTCTTTCAACTATGCAAGAAGATTCTTTTCCAATAATGCAATAACGTCTTTGATTCCAAATTATTTGTATTATTTTTTCCTTAACTAAGCTTTAATTGGATCTTTCAACCTCATGTATTGCAGTTGTTAGATGTCAGCTGCTAAGCATAACAATTGTCTATTGCGAATTCACTAGTGTGGGCTTGATGGGAGACCATGGGTGTCTAAGTTATATTTTCATGTATGGTAAAGATAAACCAAAAATGGTCTCTTAGTTATTACCGATGTCCTTTTGTGTAATATCAGGATTCCTTTTTGCGATATCCTTAACTTCATGAGCAATCCAGCTTGTAGTAGCTTGCTTGTTTCTAGCTCTGTTTACTTATGGGCATAAATGTATCGAATGTAATTTTCTAACATTGAATGAATGGTCATCTGATACATAACGAAGTACATACAACCGTGTTATGTGTATGTAGCAACAACTCTTGATTTAATCTTGATAGCAATATTTTGTAAAATAGAATTGGAATGACTGACTTGTTTGAAACTTAATGAATCCTCAAAATGCATACCAACACATAAAGAATGTCTTTCTTTAGCCTAAGCCGTAAAGAAACCATCACACAAACCATATACTATTATGTCAGTGTTCACCTTATTGTTCGCACTTAAATCATGCATATCTCTATACTGAATGTCATCTGCATGACACTTAAATCATGCATTTCACTACAACCACCACCTCCACTCTATTGCCATCACAAGAACCTATAAGTATGTCTATGACATCTATATCACTCATAATCAGTATGTAAATTTTAGGCGATGTTCCATTAATTTGATATTGTAGGTCAAGGCATGACCCCAAGCCTCCGAAAAATTGATTTGGTTTGTTCCTTCAATAATAAAAAATTAATATGTCCTCTCTCAAAGTTTAATGTTTTCTGACTTCCATCGTCATATTTCATCCTGCTTTGACCCTTCACCGCAGTCCAATATCCTTCATATTTGAAGATAATAGAGCACAAATTATTAAAGTCCTTATATATGCGAATACAACTCTTAATGAGATAAATTACATCCAATTAGCATAAATAAACATGTAATTATTAATGAGTTTGTTCATTTGTCTGCTGAACAATTTATCTTTAGACGACAGACGGAGAAGGCGCATGTAACTATAACCAACTCTTTGAAAGGGGTTTGTTTTGGAACGACTTTGGCTACAACAACGTTAAGATGAAGAAGGCAAATGTGCATAGTAGAAAGGTGAACAAACAAAATACCTAATGGGAAGGAAGAGGGGTTTGACGTGAGTACCTGATTGATCGAGGAAGAGCCCATGGGAGGTCATCAGTTGGGATGTTCGCACAAAATGTCAAACGATTTTGCTCAGTTGGTATATGTTCACACGATCTTGAGAAGATGAGTAGCGTTTTATTCAAACGCGAGAGGGAGCTGCTTAAACAACAATAAAGAGGAGAGGTGATTGCTGCGCAAAAGATAAGGACAGAGTGAGATTTTGACAAGAGGTAACAAGAGTGGTAATTTAGATGAGCCTAGTTGTGTTTAAGTGGTAGAACAGTAAATAATGAAGTTTAGGTGTTAGATAAGTAAATAGAGCAGTTTTAAGTATTAAGTATGTAAGAATCCGTAAAAATAATTGGAGACTTTAAAAACAAAACTCTTCAATTGGTGCTATTATTAAAAGTTTAAAAGCAATGATTCCATGTTTCTGCAACTAAGACATTCATTCCAATACACTCAACTTAAAGCAACTTTGTTGTTTTAAATTATACAACTTTTATGTCTACTTTAATTAAAGCCACTCAATTATTCATATTTCATTGATCAAATTATTAAATTTCATCATCATCCCACTTACCATTAAAGGTATTGGAGGCTTAAAAGCAAGGCTTATCAGTGCCTTTATTATTGAAGGTTTAATACATATTGCGGGCTAGAATATTTGTGGCGGTAAATTATAAAATCCTCACGTCTTAGTGTTGCACGAGTATCCAGCACACAAACAGAGAAAAAGGAAACACCATAATTGTTTACGTGGAAAACACTGAAGGGATAATTCATGAGGCCACGCCTAGTTGAAATGATTCCACTAGTGTTGGAATAGATTACAAATATCAAACTTTCCCTTAAAATTGAGGACGATCATATTGCAATAATAAATTGTCGGGTTAAAATCTAGTGATGAATGGAAATCGGATGGAAATCCAACAAAGTTTGGAGGTGGGGAAAAATTGATTATCAATTAGCTGCCGGGCAGAAGTCCGGTGTCAGTCGGTGGCCAGGCAGAAGTCCGACATAAGTAGGTGGCCGAGCGGAAGTCTGACGATAGTTCATAAATGATCATTGACCGAGCAGTGGTCAAAGAGGAGTCGGGTGGCAAGAGAACTCTAGTTTCCCTCTCTTCCTTGCTTTGATCGTCTCTCTATAAAGAATGATGAGTCTATTTATAGTATTCTGGGAGTGGCATAGCCAGTAAATAAAAGATAGATCAAGGGTACTTTGGGAGTGGTTTGAATAGATGACCAATTTTGTTCCCCTTGATCGTGAACCGTGTACTCGGCATTCGAATGTCTTAATGATATCAAAAGTCAGCATCTTGGACTCGTTAGATTCGTCTCGTCGAGTTGCTTGATTCGGTTATAAGCATGACACATTAGAAAATCATTTGGTAATCCAAATGGTTTTAATCTTCCAAAGGTGCTTTGAGTCTTTGTTTTGGATCCATTTGGGCTCAAATTAGGCCAAATTTGGTGTTATTAGGTTCGTCTTTTCGAGATGTTCAGTTCAACTATGAATTTGTTGAAATCGGAGTTCAGTTGGTCCAAATTTTAATTTCAGAAGTATATATGTGTGTGTGTGTGAGTGAGTTAATTATAATTATATTTTACATTAAATAATTTAAATATGATATATTACAAACACCCATAACTAGGGCTGTCAATATTAGACACGACACGAAAACCCGACCAAGAAATTTCGGGTTAGACCCGCCCATTTCCAAAACGGGTCGGGTTCTGGTTCACAGATTCGACACGTTTGAAAAACAGGCTAGGTTCGGGTTGACCTGACGGTTTGCTGGGTCAACCCGGAAACCTGTTTAAAATGGCTGCCCAATTGCCCGTGGACCGGCCGCTGCCCACCCCCTGTCCAGTGCCCGCGGAGCTGCCCTCTGCTCATCTGTCAAAAACGGGTCACGGGTCGGGTTCGGGTCCAACCCGAAATTGACCCGACAGTTCAACCCGACCCGACCCGTTTTTGCAAACGGGTCGGTTTTCCGAACCCGAACCCGACCCGCTTCGGGTCCGGGTCAACCCGACCCGACCCGCTTAGGGTATATTTAATTAAATTTTTTTTATTTAATTCATTTTATTTTAATTTAAATTAAATTAAGGGTAGATTTACTTCAATTAATTTAAAATAAATCAAGATTAATTTAATTTGGGCAATAATATTTATAATTTTTTGAAATATTATTTACTTATTTCATAAAAATTCATTAAAATTCTCCAAAATTAATTAAAAACAGGTCAAACCGGGTCGATTTCGGGTTTCCGGGTCAACCCGAACCCGACCCGGTTTTACAAACGGGTCGAAATCTCTAACCCGAACCAGACCCGGTTCGGGTTCGGGTTGACCCGAACCCGAAATTTTCGGGTCGGGTTCGGGTCGGGTTTTCGGGTCGGGTCCAATATTGACAGGTCTAATTGGCCCGATTATAAACTTTTATCATCATCCATCCCACTAAACATTGAAGTTATTAGAGGTTTAAAAGAAAGATTTTTTAAAGGATTTTTCATATTTAAAAATTATATTCATTTTTTTTATTTTTATGGGCAAATAAAATAAATTTATTCTTATGTAATGAACTTCATATTTACTTAAATTATGCTATTATTTTGAGAAACAATATTAAAATTATGTCTAATAATTGTTAATTTCAAAATCTATGTTTATATTTGTTACATCCTGGAAATTCACGATGGTAGAGAAATCTAAAGTTTTGTATCCTAGCTTTGTAGGATGATCCATCATGCAAACAAATAAAAGATAGGGTGTACAACGTTCATATGAGACACAAGATTTTTTACATGGAAACTCTTAAAAATAGGAGAAAACCACGAGGTCTTTTCTAGTTTAAATGAATCCACTACTGTTTGCAATTGATTACAAATGATTCCCTTCCTTAGCTAGAGGTCGAAGAGACAGTAGCCGAGTGACGTTGGTCGAAAGGGTCGTATTTGAGAGATGGGGATCGAAAAGGCCGTTGTAGGGTAACAGTTTTCAGAAGGACGGTCAGGCGACTGCGATCAGGGAGACCGCACTCTGGAGATGGTTTTCAGAGAGAGCGTAATCGACGGGTGACTGTGGTCGGAAGGACCATAGTCTGGCAATAGTCGGTAGTCAAGCGGAAGTCTAGTGACATTCAATGGCCAGATGCAAGTTCGGTGACATTTGGTGGCCGGACAAAAGTCCAACGACAGTTAGTGGCCAGACGGTGGTTAAGAATGAGCATTATGGAAAGAGAGAGATCAACTTTTTCTTCCTTTTTCTTTCGTTTTGTTCCCTTCCTTCCCTCCATTGTGAAGAATCACAGGTTTATTTATAGTTTTCTAAGAGTGCATGACCAGAAAATTGGAAGAAAATCAAGGGTATGTTAGGAGTGGTTCGAATGGATAGCCAATATCAATTCATTTGATCATTGACCATATATCTAGCATTTAGGTCTTTAATGATGTCAAAATTTTGTGATATAAGGTTTGTTGGATTTGTCTGGTTGAGCTGCTCAATTCAACTATAAACATGTTATGTTTGGATGTCATTTGGTTATCCAATTTATGCTTTAAACCCTCTAAATGTGATCCAGGCCTTGATTTGGACACATTTGGGCTTGGATTGGATCAAATTTGGTGTCGTTGGGTTTGTCATTTTGAGAAGCTAAGTTTAACTATAAGTTTGATGAAATCAGAGTTTGGATTGCCCACTAATTTAATTTTAGAAGTTTTTAATATGAATTTTCTTTGAGATACGTGCTTAATATCAAGATAATTCTTTTATGATATATTAGTTTCCTCCCTATTTTCATATATCAAAGCATGCAAAGTCCAAAAAATATGTGTCGAAGTTCTTTAAACCATTTCAATGCAAAATTACAATTTTAAGGTAATTGCAAGGCGTGACCACTCCCTAGACGTCAATGTGAATCTCTCCACAGGGCCATGAACCAAGAAAAATACCCTTAATGATAAATTCAACATGTCCTGAGGTTGGTCCATTAATTGCAGCGAAAAAGGTTAAAACATTATGCTCTAAAATTTTAGGGATTTGTAGCAGCAATTCTGCCACAAATCCACTATAAATCCACTATAAATCTATTACAAATAGGTTTATCTAAATAGGCCCCAACCCTTTATTTCATTTCCTCATTCGTTCTTTGTTTTCTCTGTGCCCGCGTCCTCTCCTTCTTCAATGACGTTCCTTCAATAATAATTCCCTCGCCTTTCCTCGCCATACTCTCCTTCTTTAAAGATGTTTCTTGCTTCTGCGATGATGTGCACTCACAATTGCCTCCTTTGATGAAGTTCCTTCGATGACGTTCCTTCGATGAGTTTCGATGAACATTATCTCGCCTCCATCGATGATTCTAGTTGCTTCCTTCGACGGCGTTCCTTTGATGTTCATTTGACAAACATTTCTTTGACTCATGGATGCCATTAGACCTCCAATTTGCTAGCTGCCATCTCCTTCTATGAAATTCTTCCTTTAGCAACCGATCCATCTTGTAAACAAAGATAATCTTCTTTTATTAGATTAGTTTATTGTTCATATTTTAGGATTAATTGTTTATAGTTTAGGGTTTTTTGTGATCAAACCTATAATGCTTTATGTGTAGAATGTAGCCATTAATGGAGATGCATAAAATTATGTTAAAGGTCTATTTGGCAACGAGATTATGCCCGATTTGAGCAGGATTTATGCTAAATCCTACCAAACAGGATTTATGACATTTTTTAATGTTACAGCAGAATAAATCCTCTGTCCAGCCATTTTTGCAATAAATCCAGGATTTACTAAATCCTGTAGTTTGACAGATTTAAGATTTCAAGTTAAATCCTACTTATTGCCAAACAGCCCCTAAGTGTTTCAAAGATGAGGATGCTAATATGGTGGATGAACGGCTTTACTCTTAGAGTCTATTATTCATAATGATGATGTAATGGATGGAGATATTATTAGCATAATTCATATTGGATAGTTGAGAGGAATGCATTGGAATTATTATGTGATAGAAAAGTTTCACTGCTGACTGAAGAAAAAATTCTTTAAGATGGTGGTGATACCTGCAATATGTTTTATGGTATAAAACGTTGGCCATTACAAGAGAAGCATAATAATGAGTTAAGTGTTGCAGAGATAAGAATTCTTAGGTGGATGAGTGGCTTTACTCTTAGAGACATGATATGAAATGACCATATATATGTAAAAAGGTTGGAGTAGCTCCATCGGAAGAAAAGATTAGAGACTTGCCTAAGATGGGTTGGTCACATAAAACCGTGACCTTCTGATGACTCGGTTGGGAAATTAGATGTATTAGTGTGTTTCCCTAATTAGCACACATTCTTC